AAAAATGAAAAATTGAAAATAAACATGAAGTAAAAATAATGAAGAACGATCTGATAATTTATATACATATTTACAGTAGTAAGGAAAATTATTTAACTACTATTATTTCCAATAATTTCTTGATATCAATGAACTACTAATCATTTAGTAACACAATATTAAAAAAATTAGTTACCCGAGATTATTTCTCAGAAATAAGCAATTTTCTTTACAATATAGTCTTGTTTATTGATGGTCATTCCGCAGCTTATGACAAACAATACAACCAAGCATTTTCTCCACCAGATCCTGACTGTTTCATTCACGAACCTGTTCTTAAACCTGATGATCAATGTTGATGTTATTATCTTCTCCTTTACTTTGGGTACTGAAACAGAAAAATGTATTATATCTCTTATTATCTTGATAATAATATAATTAGTATATTATAATGGAACATGATTTATCATTTTTATACAACAGTTTAATATTTTGCAATGAAACTACATCCTCTATTTATATCTTGTTCATTTTTGTCCAAGTGAAAAGTGAGATAAATGTGAAATATGTGAAAATAAAAGACAAGTTACTTATTTAAAAAAAAATGGATAAAGATTGAAATAAAATTTGTAAATCAAAACATACTAAAAATAAACATGAATAAAAAAATAAAATCAATGCATAGTTAAAACCCATATTGAATTTACATGTATCAAGGACTACTATGAATCCTTTTTTTTTTTTTTTTTTAACTTTAAGTATTATTGATTGGGAATATGGGGGTATTAAAACAATAACAGTTAAGATTCAACATTACTCTAATGGGCGCCATTAGTGAACAGAGCTACGCCAATCATTGGTCTGAACCAGTGTCGCCACCTTTATTTTATATTTATTTATGTTTTATAAATTATTTATATTAATAAAATACATATCAAATTTATAGAATTAATACAATACGATTGAAGTACAAATATCAAGATGGGATTAATAAAATGAAATATAAACTATAAATATATAATAGGTCAAAAGTCGTCACACTAATTTTAAGTATATAATGTAGTGATCCCACCAAGGAATTTTTTTTTGGAATAAATTGACGATGTTCTTCTAATTATTAAAATATATAACATAAGATATAGAGATATTAAACTATAATAATAAATGTATTTAAGGTTATAAAGATATGTTCTAAACATTTATGAAATATTTGTATATAATAAACTTCTTTTTTCACACATGTACAATGAAATAGCTTGTTAAAAAATGCTATTGCCTTGATTTGGTGGATTTTAAATACTTAAAGATTTTACATACATACTTAGAAATTTCATTTAATTTCCTTGGAAACATGTGATTTCTGTTAAACAATATTAGTTTTCACGAATTATTATTTACAAGTTTTCGTAACTCTCCATTACATTCTACGATTTACTATATTAGATATTGTTTTTTTTTATAAAATTCTCCGCTTTCCAACGATAGATTACACCTATACCTTCTGACTATTTTCGATCTGGATAAGCATTTTTCTTTTTTCTCCTTTATTCTATTATCAAATTAATTCAAAAGTTATATTTAGCTTCTTTTTTTATCATAGCTCTTAACAATGATACATAGTTAATTATTTAAAATAAACCGAATTAAAGTCAATTTAGAGGAAGACATATTGAACATTCAGCATTTAAGCCCTGTAAAGTGATATCAATAAGACCTAGCTGATATTAAATACCAATCAATAATACACTGATATAGTGAGTTTAATTAAAATCGTTAGAGCGGTTTTTAAGAAAATCGTAAAAACCTCTAACATGGTTGATATAAACATTTTGACGAAAATGTTGCTGTAACATCTTAGGTATGTAAAAACCTTAAATACGCAATTTCAGTTTCGCCCGACTTTTCGTTTTTGATCTAGGCTGTTCATACACACACGTATATCTTTTGACTATTATTTCCGAAGATTCATTTTGGATCCGAATAACCATTTTTCTTTCTTTTTTTTTCTCCTTTATTCAATTATCAAATAATTTAAAAAGTTATTTTTAGCTTATTTTCATAACTCCTAACAATGAGAGATAGTTATGTAAATCAATATGACGTAACGTTGACCTTGAACTTGAGCAATCAGCTGAGAAGGAAACAGCTGCTTATTAAAGAAAGTCATTTTCACAGTTCGTCTTTTATCGCTATCAGCCTCTTTGATTTAATAAATTCATTCAACATCATCACCGCCGTTTTTGAGAAAATCGAAATAATGTGTTAAATCAATTATATAAAACAGCATTTACGGTAATTCGATTTTAGAGAGAAAGTTGTGGTGGAGGAGGCTTTCGAGCTGAAGTTCGGCAAAAATAAAAAGGCAAAGGCAAAAATTAATAACATAAATTTTGTTCGAAATTCTCTCTATATTTTTTTTCGGTTCATAGGGAGTATAGGTAAGAACTCTCGGACATGGGTTTAATATTTTTCGACCTAATATCACCAAATGAAGTTTCATAGAAATCGGTGACCTCATCTTGTAAGTGAAAGTAAAAACTATTTATCAGATATTGTGATTAATTAATGCAAAAAAACATTTAAATATCTGACTTACATCTGAAAAGATCTCATTCAAAATATTTTAAATGTGCATTTAGACATTTCAAATACTATGTGACAAACAGTATTTTGTGTGAAACAGGGTGTCCGGTATATTTAAAATTAAATATTTAAAAGGTTGATAGTAGACATCTAGATCTACAAAAAAAAATCTAATAAACAATGGCCCAATTTCCAACAGAAAAGTAAGAAATGTAAGATTTGAGTTTTTTTAAGTGAGTCATTTTTTTGTTAAATAGGAAGCGATAACTAAAAAAATATTTGATTTAAGTAATTAAATATGGCTCCATAGTAAACTAGACAAAATTTACTTACAAAGAACTGACATGCCTATAATGTCAACCCTTATTTTATCACAACACATCTGCTGATTATCAATACCATGAATGGTGCGGATACAGACTAAAAGAGAAAAAAAATCGTATTTTAAAATATTGCCCAGTTCTGATTAATAAACGCATTATTTCCATTTTGGTTGGAGGGGAGAGAGGCTATGGATCCTTAAAAAAGTCTCGGGAGTTAATATTATATATAAAAATTATGAGTGATAATATAATTTTTGTAAAACGAATAATAAAATGCTATATAGAAAATAAATTTATGTATATTTTTATATATTAGTATTTTTTTTTTTTTTTGGTACGGATATATTTGAAAATATGTTAACAAAGCAATTGAATAAATTACTTATTTTTATCTTTATTTAAAGGCTTGAGGCAGTGAGATGAACTCTCAATTCTCAATTTCGAACTCTCGATGCTTCAAATTATCATCAAGAAATGTGATATCTTCACGTAAAAATATAACAGAGCACATGAATGAAACATAAAATACTACGATTGCTGCTACATATAATTATTTTAAAATATAAAATTTAATTTCAATAATAGAAACATAGGTCGAAGTAAAATAGTTGCGTACCTACTTCTAGACCTTAGTCAGGCTTTTCTGTTTTCTTAATTGATTTTAGTTTACATATTGTATTCATTCAAGTAGATTAAGCGTTATGAATTTTTATTTTATTTTTGTTCTTCAAAATATTGGGGAAGTGAAACTATTTTTATTGGGGAGCCATCACCTCTCTCGCCCCCCCCCCCCCAATCTCACTCCAGAAATCTGCGCTATTGTAGAATAGAACAGAAAAAGAAACTTTATTCTGGGACACAACAAAATAAAATAATGAACAAAATAAAATAAAATCTGGTATGTCCACTCACACGACTTTCCTACCTATTTCAGAAAAGTTTTTATATCTTTAAATATGACTATTAAAAAATAAAAAAAATCTCTCATTCACCCTTTCTGACACCGGAATATGAACCCGTAATGTTACATACGAAATTGAATAGCTGTAACTTCGTTAATAGTTGTCCGAAATGACCGATTTTCAAATAGTTTTGTAGGGAACTTTATTACCTTTAAAAAAAAACGATAGATCCGTCGAAAACCCTGGGAAATTTGACCCGATCGCAATACTTTCCTTACCTAATATGGTTAGGAAAGTAATAAATTAAAACATGTGTAGAAAATAGAATACGCTGTATCATCGCTAATACTAGTTCGATTCCGATGATTTATTTTTTGTTTTCTTGATAATTTAATTACGTTTCAAAAGTTATATTATAAATTTTACCATAGAATATATACTTAGCGAGTTAGGCCCCAAAACATTTTTCTTTCCTTTATATAACTTTTTTCCTGAATTTTTTCGGGAATTTAGAATATGTACAAAAAGATGAAAGAACAATTATTAGAACATAATAGGAAAGTTTCATCAAAATCGTTAGAGCCGTTTTTTGCGCTACGGTCTATAGAAAAACATATTTTTCATTTATTGCGAGCAAGCTATTTCGCATGGAGCACCGAATTTCTGTCACAGGCATCAGTAGTCAAAACCCTACAAAATAAAAAATAAAAAAGCAACAAAACCGGTTCAGTAGTTCATGAGAAAATCTTGGCATAGACAGACAGATAGACAGACCAATGGCTAAAAAAGTGCTGTTTTTTTTGGACTCAGGGAGCCCAGAAACGTATAGATCCTTCAAAAACAGCAAATCGGAAATTTTACCCGATTGTAATACTTTCCTTATCTAGTATAGGTAGGAAAGTAAAAATACATATATGGCCAACGACTAACTTAATTAAAATTCTAACAATATATATAGTAATTTAAAAATTAATGTGTAAACAATTGAAATATATAGAAATAAAGTCTTTTCAATAATGTAATAATAAATGATAAAAAAAATAATAAATCAATAATGTATATAGATAAGTGAAAGTAAAAATTATTTAACAAATAGTGTGGTTAATCAATGCTAAAAAAACACTTAAAGATCTTGCTTACATTCGAAAAAATCCCAGTTAAAACATTTTTAAAAATACTTGGCACCCGATGATAGCCGATCGTTGCCGAAAACGACCGATGACCCTTCCCTTGTTTATCAGCGTGCTGTTACTCAATCAGTCGACGATCAGACCATGTCCGAGCAGAACTGCCAACCCTGTTCCGTTGCCGACTTCGAGAGGTTCGCCAGGGCGAAGTTGCCGTCTTCGGCCGCTGGCTACTATCGAAGTGGGGCCTGCGGGGAGCACACTTTGGCCTTCAACCAGTCTGCCTTCCAGAGGTATCGATCTATAAGTCGATAGTAATACGTACCTACACTAATCGATTACGTAATATGTATAGGCAGATATGTTGTAATAACTAGATTAAGATTTTTATCAAATTAATATATTTTAGAAAAACATTAAAAAAAAAAAATCAAACAAACGTACGCAACTAAAAAATATCCGATGTGTCCACTGATACGACTTTTCTACCTATTTCAGAAAAGTTTTTATATCTTTACATATGTTCATGAAGAGACAAAAAAGAATTGAACTAGATTTATTTTTCTGAAATTGATCAAATAAAAGATTTGAGTACGATTTATTTGATGAACTAAAGCAATATAAACCGCTTGAGGTAGATCAGTGTAAAAATTTCAGTACTCTCTAATATTGCTGATCAAAAACTTTTTGCGATAGCTTAGTATTGTCAAACAATAATTTCTGTAATAAGTAGAGGAAATTGAATAGCTGTAACTTCGTTAATAGTTGTCCAAATGAACTATTTTTATATAGTTTTGTAGGAGTTTTATTATAAATGTTACCGTATAATATACATTTCGCGAGTTAGGCCCAAAACATTTTTCTTTTCTCTATAACTTTTTTTCAGGGGACTCTGAAACATGTTTTTTATTAATTGCGCGCAAGCTATGGAGCACCGAATTTTTATCGAATTAGGCATCAGTTGTCAAAATCCTACAAAATAAAAAAAGAAGCAACAAAATCGGTTCAGTAGTACCCGAGAAAATCTTGGCACAGACAGATAGACAGACAGACCAATGGCTAAAAATGTGTTTTTCGGTTTCAGGGGGCTCTGAAACGTATAGATCCGTCGAAAACCGCATATCGGAAATTTTAACCGATTGCAATACTTTCCTTACCTAGTTAGGACTAAAAATTTGGTCCAAACAATTTGTTTTGTTTTTTAACAAATTAATTGTGCATAATGATAATGTGGTGCAAATATGTTCAGGTAACAAAGTATTCAGCAGAAATAAGATTGATAATTTAGTTTTAAAGGCGTATTTTTGAGAGCGTATAATTTAATTTGTTATTTATGACTTAAATAATAAAACAATTTTTATGACAATTGTTTTTTGACTGCAGTTTGTACACAATGAAGTAGATCTTTTTCAAAATGCTTTAAAATTTATTAAATATGACATTTTGGTAATCGAAGTAGCAAATGAAGTTGCTCATTTCCAAGATTTTTCCTATTCCTTACCAATATATTTTTTTAATAATAAGACACATTAAAAAGATCATTTTTGGATTATTTATTAAGTCCAAACAATGGTGTTCGAATTCCAACAACTCATCAATTATGCGAACTTTGATAATCAGTTCTCAACAATTCTTCGTTATAATATAATATAAAACACCGATCTCCTGCCGTTTCCTAACTTGTGCATTCTTTCCAAAAATCGAGACTTTTTTATAAAGCCGCATGACGGGAAACAAATTTTTAAAAATCTGTACTGTCCCGCCAAAGGTGAGATGTCTGGTGACCTTAGCTGAAGGCCACACTTTATAAGCGAAAATATCAATCAACAAGGCGAAATTAATTATATAATATATATATATATATATATATATATATATATATATATATTTAGTTCTATATTCACAAAACAATAAAATTTACAATATATACAATTATAATTGTGTATAATTTACTCTGGTAAACTTTACTCTGACACATCGTCATTTTTATCATACTCTAAAAATGATGCAGTAGGTTTATGATAACTAAAATATGTGATGAATACTTTTGACTAAAATCTATTTGCTAAATATCTAACAAAAACTCTGTCAATCGTTGTTCCATATTTTGTTGTGCTTTTATTTGGATCAATCGACATATTCAAATCTATTGTTGATAAAAAAAAAAAAAATACTTATATTGACTTCTGCAATTGATTTCTGATTTCTATAAGGTATTTAAAGGTTGAGATATTTTGGTTCCAATTGTTCAATTTCAAATTTCGGTTCAAAAAATCGTTATTATTTGATCTTTTGGCGTTATCTTATTGAATTTTCGAATATCTAACTCCAGGTCTCGTCAAAATAAAATTTTGATTTCTATCTCTTTACAAAAAGTAAAACACATAGTCCATGGTACATCTTTTTTATCAAATTATTAACATCCGCCTGAAACTTGGTAAATAGCTTCATCTCATGGTAACCTACACCTATTTTATTTACGAAAATTCTTGAAATTGCGGCGTTTTCAATACTGAGATCGAAAAACATTGTCTATTTAATTAAGTACTAAAAACTCGTAAATACTTGCTTCCCACATGAATCGTAATATAATTTCAACAAAATGTCAAAATAACAAGGAGATGATAGAATAGAATAGAATAGAATAGAAAAATAACTTTATTCTGGGACACAGTCCCTTGAGAATAACAAAACAGAAGAAAATTAAAAGATTACAACTGGCCAAAATAAAATCAATCGAAAAACAGAAATAATGTAAAAAAAAAAATAAGGTAAAAATTCTATTTACAAAACAAACGAAACTATATACAAAACAATTAATACTATGACAAGACACTTAAAGCTATTTGCACTGATAGACCAGTATACACTCTTAAGAAAATAATGAAGAATTAAAAAATAAAAATGTATCAAATTCTCTATTAAAATCATCTCGAATGGTTAGCAACTATCTGACTGTTTTTGGGATTGGAATTGGAATAGGAGGGTTTTGAATGTGGATATGGATGGGGAATGTCGAATTTTGATAGGGAGGGAATTCTAGACATTGACAGAGCGAACAATAAAGGAATTTTGGAATGAGGCAGATCTGTGAGAAGGCATGTAAAGGTTAGAAGGTCGAGATCTTGTGGACAGGGAATGGACAAATGATAGACCAAACGGCCTAAAATTTATTTTCTCTATTTTGTCATCAAATTATCTTACGATCTTACGATACGTGTGTAGCAATTGGGTATTTACGAGTTTTTAGTACCTAATCAAATAGACAAAGTTTGCCGATCTCCTGATTACAAACGTTCCAATTCCAAGAGTTTTCATAAATAAAATATTTGTAGGTTACGATGAGATGAAACTATTTTCTAAGTTCTAGGGGGATATTAATAATTTGATAAGAAGGGGTCTGTACCACGGACTCCAATTAGTTTATTCGAGTTGGCTTTACCCGAATGAGCATGACGTCTCATTCACTACCCACAGAAAAATGCAAAGCAGTAACAAAGAAGTTTTCACTTCAAAAAATAGAGGATCATGAAGCAGTGTTCACGGAACATTTTAAAGAGAACGAAATGCTGAAAATTTTCCTCCCTTTAAGTATGTTGGTCCGAATTTCAGTTTTTGGGATATTTTAATCCAATTGTTCAGAACATTATTATTTGGTCTTCTGTCTTTTCTTCCACTCTAACACGAAGTAGCGTTTAGATAAAATTTTGAATAATAGCTCATTACAAAGAAGATGAAATGCTGAAAATTCTCCTTGCTTACAGTATGTAGGTCCGAATTTCAGTTTTTGAGATATTTAAAATTAAATGGTAAAATTAATCGATTTGAGCCAACTTTGCTCAAATGAGCGTTACATAACCGGCCTTAAGTGCTCAGTCTCATTCAATACCCACAAAATAAATAAACGTATCTATAGAAGCTTTCACTTAACAAATGCATTATGCCCAATCAACGATTTTCCTTATAACTTATACGAAAATTGTTTCTAGTATTTTCAATATTGCTCCGATTATGATTTTCAACAATCAGTCATTGTAGTCGACTAAGCAAAACAAAAAGTTAACCTCTCTCCCCTCAAAATTAGAGAAACTAGGGTGAACGCACCAATTATAGACAGGGGATTCATTACCGGACAGGTTGGACTTTAAATGTAAATAATAAGCTTCCTTGTTGAATCAAAGGTTACAGTTTTTTTCTAAATTGAAGAACAGTGTCATTTATTGACAACTGTATGAACAAAACTTTCAAAAGATAATTTCAAAATGCCTATCATTGTTGTTTTTATAGTGCTCATGAGATCATTGTGTTTCATACCTTCCTAATTATAGTTATGCTAAGAGTAAGTTGAACATCAACGTTATGTTATCTCTATAGTTAAATAAAGATTTTAGAATTTTACTTAGATGTCTATTACTGGTACCGACCCCATGTCCATTACTAGAACAATTGAATTTCGGTATGTCCATTACTAGTGCAAGAAGGCATTTTTTTAAATTAGAGATTATATCTGCATAACTGAATATTTTTTTAATCAATTTTAAAGTGTCAAATAGAAAAAGGAGATCCTAGAGATTCTAAATGTCCAACGAAGAAGTTTATAACTACAATAATTACGGCGCATAAGCTAAAGACAAACATTTTCTCAGCTATGTCCACCATTGGTGCGCTTACCTTAGGGTAATGTAGTGGGCTCATTATTTTGAAATTTGGTATCAAAATAAGATTTAAACCAAAGATGTTTCTTATCACCTTAACTTATATTTTTCCATAATCTATTTCCCACCATCTGCAGGTCGTTCTCTACATTATTAATTCGTCGCCGCCTGGATCTTCATCTCCTTTGTTCGCCCTCTGGTTTATAATGTAATAGTTATTTTCGGGTTTATCCCATTAATGCAAATTGTCATAAAAATCATGATCAATGACCCAAAAACTGAAAAGAAGAATTAAATAGGGGATATCCAAACCCTAAAACAGTTCAAATACCTAGGAGCACTCGTGAAATCTAACAGGAATGATTTAGAGTCGATGAAGAACAGAGAAGTGAAGTTAGACAGACTTCGATTTCTTGATGAAAACCTATGTATTATATGGAATGGAGACAATGGGATTTACTAGTATAGGAAAGCTATTAAAAACAGAGAGAAAGATATCAAAGTGTATTTATGGACCAAGAAAGAAGACAGAAGATAAGTACTGACCTAAAAAGAATCAAGAATTGTATGAAGATGCCGAAGATTTAGAAACATCAATGAGGAAAAGTAAATTGCAAATCCTTCGTCACATGAAAATA